GAAACCCTGTGACCCTTGATTGATACAGCTGAGGGCATCTGCCTCATCCCCTGCATCTCCCCAGCGGCACCAGGGACACCTGTAAGCTGTGATAAAGCACCTCCACTTTAGTGTCCAAACCTGAAGATTGATCTCTCCCTATCCATCAGCTAAGAAACCAAATCTGCATTCCAGGGAGTCATTTAAGCTGCATCCTAAATCAGGGCTGGAAGAGTTGAGAACATGAGTATGGGTAGCTTCGGAATGTCCTCATCTGTCAAGTGGCAGTTTTAGGGCAGTGTTTTCCTGTTATCCTGTGAACTTCAGCTCTGTCTAGAGTTTCTCTGAAGTCTCTACAGGCCATGCTCACACAAAAACAATGGACCAGTTATTAAATAGCTTTAAACACTTAAATCTGTCATTTCAGTCATAGAGGAGACAGAAAATTACTTAATGTTTAGCAAGAACTCCAGTTTGGTAGGTATGACTATAAAACATAAGCACAGGTGTTGTAGTTAGTTTATTTAATTTTGTTAAAGCTTCGTTAAAGCTTGTTGGTATGTTCTTGTTTCCCCCTATTGATTGTATTGGTTTGGCCCCAGTTGTCACTTATGTAAAAACCCCTCCAATTTTCCGGAATGTTCCCTGCCAGTCACCTTAGCCCTGCCCCCACTCCCTATCCATCATTGTAGACCCCACCCCTTCTTCCAGACCCTTCTGTGTCAATCATTTGTCCCTCGAGGTCCCACTGGTTAGTGTATCTTGTTCCCTCCCTCTTTGTATCCCTGAATTTGTGATCCCCTCCCCTTACTCCTCCTCTCGAGATTCCCCATTGGTCCATGGTTTGTACCGTCCCCTGGAGATTGGGCTGTACTTAACTCCTTGCACAGCAGTGCTTGTGCCTCTCCAGAACGTGACCCCTTCCAGTGTGGATCCCTCGTTTCTCCATCCTAATAAAATCATTGCTGGGAACGTCAATCCAAGCGAGACTCCTCTACTTTCTTGCCTCCACCCCTGAGGCCGTGCAGCACAGAGCTTGGGGCGGCCCAAGACTCTGGAGGTTTCACTGAGGGAAAAGCCTGCTCCCCAGTGATTCCCCACTCTTGGTGCCCACCTGTGCCGGAGTGCAAAAGACCACCATGGAGCTAGCTGGAGCTCCGGTGCAGTGCCACATCACACAGGCAAAGAAGGAAGGAAAGGTAGCTCATACTAGCATAGTGCTGGGATATACATTCTCATGCTTCAAGCAAATAAAATAAAAAGGTTAAAATAAAATTACTAATAATAGACAAAAATAAACCTCAGAGTAATTAGAGGTGGGCACCCCCCCAAGAACCTGAACATTTTAACAGCTCTCATTACACAGTCTCTGAAGAATCCATGACAAATTCATTCTTACCAATCCTTCCTTTAATGGAAGAAGAAATGTTAAAGAGTCAGCAGCATTTAAGATCTCATAACAGCTTTCTGACAAGACTTCTTTAATGTCAGAAATTTTATCATGAGTGAGAGCTATATAAAAATGATGACAGTATCCACTGTTCCTTTTTTTTCAAATGGTTGTTTCAAATACCAGCCTCATTAAAACAGCTGCAGACATCTTGTAAGATCCATACTGAAATGATTCCCAGGCCAATATCTCATTTGAATCCCCCAAACTGACACTTTTCCGTAGAGACTTCAAAGTCTGCATGATATTTGTTCATTTAAAATTTTTATGTTGGCATCATCACTTGAAAAGAAAATGCACAAGGAATAACACAGGGGCATGTGGTTGTTAATTGCAGTGTGTCAAATCCACATTTTCGTAAGATGAAAGAAAGGCGACTTGAGTATCCTTTTGTAGCTTCATAGAATCACAGAATCGTAGAATGGCTTGGGTTGGAAGGGACCTTAAAGATCATTTAGTTCCAACTCTTCTGGCATGGGCAGAGAACCTTTCATTAGACCAGATTGCTCATAGCTTCATCCTACATTTCCAAGGATGGGACATCCACAATTTTCCTGGATAGCCACAATTTTCCCTGGACAATTTCCCTTGACCTGTTTCAGTGCCTTACCACCGTCACAGTAAAGAATTTCTTCCTAATATCTAACATAAACTTACTCTTTCAGTTTGAAGACATTCCCCTTGTCCTGCTGCTATGTGCCTTGTAGAAAAACAATCTCATCTTTCTCATAGGCTTCCCTCAGGTACTGAAAATCCACAATTCAATCACCCTGCCAAAGCCTTCTCTTCTCTTGGGTGAAGAACTCCAATTCTCTCAAGATTTCCTCACAAGAGAAGTGCTCCATCCCACTCATCATCTTGGTGTCTTACCCATAAGGAAACTGAGTGCCCAAGATTGGCAGATGCTCATGGTTGAAAAGAAATCATAAAAATCAAAGGGTCCACAAAAGAAACTTAGAGAGTTTTATTGTAAATTTTGCATTTTGGTATGGAAACTGGTATATTAGGGTCTTACCTTCTAGCAAGGGAGAGTGGGCTTTGAATAAGGAGTAGGGTGAAAGAAGAGAGAGGGGGAAATTAGAGAAAGGGAAAAAGAAAGAGAGGAAAAAGGGAGAAAGAGAGATCACCAGTCCTGGCCTCAGCACCAGTTCAGCTAACAGAATGTCCAGAATCCCGGGAACAGGTGCCCAGACTTTGTGGGGTATCTTTTTATAGATAGTTTTCCCCCACCTCAAGATAGGTTTCTTACTTCCTATGTGAATTAGTTATCATGAGCAATTCATTCCTCTTGACCTTTCTGGAAGTAGGTCAGAGGGCTGTGGGTGGGTGTTCATTGATGCTCCCCTACTGGGTTGACCCTAGGTCAGCAGTCCATATCTGCTTCCCAACCTCATTCCTGCTGGCCACTCAGGAGAACTAAAATGATGTCATAAGATTACACAGGGAAATACAGACTCAAGCTGTTCCAGAGAGGTTTAGATTAGATATTAACAAAAATTCATTCTCTCAAAGGATTATTAGGCATTGGAACAGGCTGACCAAGGAAGTGTTTTGATCCCCATTCCTGGAGACATTTAAAGCACTTGTAGTTGTGGCACTTGGAGCTGTGGTTCAGGTGGTGGACTTGGCACTGTTGGGTTAACAGCTAGACTCAATGATCTCAGAGATCTTTTTTCCAAATGAAAAGATCTATGACTCTAAGTATTTTCCTGAAAAAAGAAGTACCTTGAGTGACTAACAGTTTGCAAAACTTCAATGTCAACGATTCTGCCCAGTGACTAAGAAGCAAATATTATTCCTTAATAGGAAATAAAAATGAAGCCTGAAACATTTATTCTCTTCTGCTTTAGGTGTCAGTTTGACAAAGTATCATTTGGCATAGCATAAAACTATCCCATTCTCTTTAACAATTTTGAATTATGTATTTTCTTCTAAATGTGGTACTTTTTTGATGCAGTTCATGACAGTATTATTAAGTAATAATTTAATAATGAGTTCACGTAGCCATTGAACTAGTGCACCTGCTGCCAGCAGGCCAGTTCACTGTTGCTAGTGGTTGTGAGTTGATGTTCACTCCATTACTCTTCCAGCTACCCATCTCTTATCCACTTCATGCTAATTCTCTGCTTTTCTGTGGCTGCTAAATGCTGTTTTTTGATTTGTGTACATTTAAATTATATAGAGGTTCAAAAAGTAACAGCAACTTTATCTCAATACAGTTATTAGTAGGAGTTGTTAGTTTCAAGAAGCTGAAATTATATTTTACCATTTGTTAACATGATGTTACCTCCACTGCAGAGCTGACAGCTTCAAAATATGATGTGTGATTTACTCTGGAAATATTTTTAAAATGTCAGGCACATTTCAGGATGGAAAAATATTGAAATATAAGATGTTTTTTTTCTGGCCAAGTGTATTAATATTATTATGGCTTTATATAATATAGTTTTCCCCTCTCATATGTTGTCATGACCGGTAAATCTCTTGATTTTGATATAAAAAAATACAGTGTTGATAGACATTAGCAGTTCAGGTTGGGAAAAAGGTAATGGCATGCAATGCCTTTTCCCTCAAATAAAATTATTTTAAATCCTGGGTACAATTCTATGGTGAGAATCATCAAATGTCTTTGAAAGATGATGACTGTGCCTGTCTTTAAATTATTATGGTGGGTTTAGCCCAGGCACAGCATTCACATCTCAGGTATCTGGTACTAGCAGAAAAAAATACAGAATGACCTTTTTAAAAAGACAGATAGGTCATTTTGAGTGTCCAGAGCTAATTTAACAATCACTGCTTTCACGTGGTCCCAGTGAGTAAGGGAAGATGACAGTTCAGATGAAATTGCTCCTGCAACAATGCTCTTAGACACTTGCTCAGATCTCATGTTGCTTCCCTTTCCCATTACACTGAAAAAAGTTTTTTAACCTGAGAGATAAAAGGATGGATTCCAAGTGGAAAATACAGAAAAGTTCAGCCAGATCCTTATGTCCACTTCAAGAGCCTTTACATGATTAGGATTATGGAAATGAATTCTGAAATCACTCCCAGTGTTCTTGAAGTGATTATTTCAATTTTTTTCTCATTTGGGGTTGGAACTAAAACTTAAAGATGATCTTTAAGGTCTGTTCCAACCCAAGATTTTATAAGATTCTAGACTTCATATGATCATATTCCATGATTCCATGATCATGAAACTGCAAACAAATGAGTAACATGTATAAGAGCACTTGCAAAGGCTCTTGCTCCCCAGAGTTTCTCCTTAGGGGGAAGTAATTCACTTACTTAGATTGCCCCTCTTAGCAGCAGACTGCCAGTCAGCCATATGAGGAGGCTTTGACATGGAAGATGCCTGTAACAGGAAAAGCAGTTTGGGGAGGAAAATTTCAGATGTAGCCCTGATCCTAGCATTAACACCAACCCCAGCTGTGCCCTCCTTTGCAACGCTGAGGGAGGAGTCATGCCTTCTGCTTCTGCTGCAAAAAAAAAGCACTGTCACAATAGCAGGTGGGAGCCCCTGACTGTTGGGTCAGTTTGTGAACAGTAGCATGACACAGCAAGGACAGTTTCAGTTTCCATGTGAATTTGTTTTCATGGTGACATGTTCTTGGCATGCAAGATAACCATGCAACAGGCTCTGCTGCTGAGCGTAGTGTTTATATCTGATCCTAATCACCCTGATTCTAATCACTTCACTGCTCTTGTATCAGATGAAGCTCAGTGATGAAGAAGTACATAGGTGCTGTTTTGAGAGCAGACAGAATATATCATGAGAGGTGGCTTTGGTTTGATAATAGCAGCAGGCTTTTCTTGAGGTAATTTATAACAATATTATAAGAAAAAAAGAAGACGTAGTATTATGAAGGACAGGTTTCTGCTGCTGTTTCTCTGTGCTAGCATAATGAAGATTCTTTAATTCAGTATTCTATTCAGTCCAAGGACCGATTTAACTGTCAGAATTTGAAGTATTGATTAGAGTTGATGAAAAAGAGTTCTCTGGTATCAGAAAGCTTGGAAGAACAGCATAATATGAATTCCAGTCATGTGTGTGCCCTTTCACAAGTCACTATAGGCTTGATTATAGCAGTATCCCCTAAATGTGCATTAGCATTGATCACCTGTTAGGTGCATGTGATACCTTTAATTGAGATAAAAGGCAACTTTGCCCAATTCTTTTCCTCTCCTATGGTAATTGCGAATAATGCCATTGAGTGTTCATGGGTCCAACAGATGTGAAAGATGCAAAACAGCAAGGAAAAATATTTTTCTTTGGATTTATTTTAGGTGATAATCAACAGTGCATATTATTATTCTTCTCTGATGCACTTCTCTCTCCTTCCTCTTCATTTCCCAGATCAAACATTCAGATGATTTCTGCATACAGTATTAACTTAAATTCACATCCGTGACTCTTCCATGGTAGGCACCTTTTTACTGCACCCCACTTGATGTTTCTGTGTAACACAGGCATATGCAGCCAGGATCTTGGTGCTTCCTGATGCAAACATCACTAAACATTTAACTCTCTATCCATACAAAGTAGCTGTAAGGCTGAATCATTTCTATCGTGTGAACGGAGACTCATACTCTCATGCTAGACGACACTTCAAAAAGTACAGTGAAATGAAGTTAACACCATTTCATCTTAGTCCTGTTAAGGTGTAGGGGCACTATCATCTTTTGTATTCAGCAGTGTTTAGTGTGAAAGATATGCTGGAGGTCATCTCAGAAAACTTCAGGCTGGTACAGACAAATAATTTACATCTGGGCTAGTCATTATCAGGCTCCTTTTTGGTCAGCAGAGAGGAACAGAGAGTTTTATGGATGGTCCATGTGACAGACATCTGCCTTAGGATGTGAGGAACCAGTGTCTTGAGGTTGTGACCACAGTAGCTGTAGGTATCCACATTGCAAACATCAGCAATCATATTTTTTATAAATCATATTTAAGGTGGCAAACCTCATCATCATATTTTTATTTGGTTGTAGACAGATCACTTGTGCTGTAAGAGGCTTAATGAAGCAAATGTGTGAAGAAAACCATTCCCCAGAGACACTGAAGATCTTCATAATGTGAGAGGGCTACAGATGGCTTAATAAGTTACTCATGTTTAATGTCAGATGTTGATGTTCTTATTTTAGCCACAGAAATAAATCAAACTGCAAACTGTCCCACTGGAAGACAGAACATTTCTGCAGATGAGAGATCTTTTTAGGTAGAAAAGCTAGTATCATTAAAAAAAACACCCCACCCTTAAACTTGCTGTATGTATTTATACTGGTAAAGAGCCGGGGATAGCACTTCTTTTATACTCATCACCTGAGGCAGACAGGAGCTGAATGAAAACTCATCAGCTGAACTCCCAGGGGAAAGCTACGTTCTGTCTGGATGATGCTTCGAGAAATACTGAGATGCACCAAGTTTGAGATTTAGCAGCAATATAGCTGACCACTACTGCAATTAACTTGACAGTGAAATATAGGAATGATTGCTTCTTTCAGTGATCCATATAATGAAAGGCCTAAAGCATCAATCCTTAAATCGCTTAAAGAGGAAAGAAGACATTTCTTCTATAACTCAACACCTGCCAACTTGGTCTTTACATGTGAAAAAAACTTTATGCATTCAATACTTTTGATGAGTACCTTAGATTTAAAAGTGGTGCCCTTTTCAGTCAGTCAAAAATCTGAATTTATGGCTGCCACTGCAGAGGATGAATCTAACCAAAGAAACAGGATGAGAATTAATGCATTAGCCTTACATTGTTCATCTGCATTCCTTTATTCATTCTCAGATCACTCACTCACCTTCTTGACATTCCTCTCAATTCAGCTTGGAAAATGTCTTTACTTCCTTTGCCAAAGTAGACTTTAAGTAGACTTTCAGACATACTTTGAAATTTATTGCTTTTCTTTTGGACTCCTTTTATTTTGGCTTGTGTTCCTTAAGTTAATACAATTAATCTGATACACTGTGAGGTCAGAATATTTCATTATCTTGTTTATTTATAATTCTTTTATTCTAATAAAGCACTCTGCCTCTGCAAGGATTTCAAGGCTACTTCAGAAATACATCCATTTTTGCAATTTAATGATACCATTCCACTACCAACTTAAATACAGTTTAAAAATAGATATGGATTTATGAATCTCCAGTTCGATTACATTGCCAAATGAGATACCTTCCAGTGCATGACATGTCAAATAGGAGCAGGTGAGAATGGCAGTGGAGGAAGCCAGGACCCTCCCATTTTTCCTGGGAAAAGCAGTAGGTAACTCTAAGAAAATGACTGGGTTTTTGTCAGACATGAACCCATGAGATTTTACTCTGTAACAAACCAAAGCAGACCTTGCTGTGGCTGTTCCAGACAGATGCAACAAGCTCGTTGATTTGTATGCAAACACATTAAAACAAGTCCTCCAGGAAAACTCACTAATACACTGCATAGAAAGATAATAAGGCAAAGGATAGGTTGATAAATGAAAGTGTATTATCTTAAAAACATTGGGTATCAGAACTGTTACCTTGGCTCCCATAACAGTACAATTTCAGAAAAACCCATCTCGTTAACTGTTCTGTGTCCTTTCTGACCTTAGTTAAAAGGCTGAGGCTCAGTGGGGAGCTCTGCCCACAAGGAAGAAAGGGATTTATGCATTGTTGATGTGATCAAAGATACTTAGTTGAAAAAAAAAAAAAAAATGAAAAAAAAATGCTGGGACCCATTTTCTCTGGCCACAGCAGCAATCAGAGGACAAGCTTTTTGCTCCCAGTCTCCCACAAAAATTACTTTTTATCTCTTTCTCAGATCAGACTGCTAATGAGGCTGTTAATGCATGCAGTGCCTTTTTGCTACCATTTTCCTCATAGTCAGGGACCCTTTCCTCTTTCTGTCACAGATGGAAGGCAATCACAGTTTCAGCAATCAGTTCTTACATGCCTGCATTTGTCTTGCCCTTCTCCACTACCAAATGATTCATCTTGTTCTCAGCCTTCCCAACGTGCAAACCAATGGTTGTGACAGCTTTCTTATCATTTCTGTTACCTGGTTCCACAGAGCACTTGAATATCCCCTTTTACATTTGCCTTGGGTAAAAGGCAGCTCTTAAACTAGGCAACTTCAACATTTAGTGCAGCTCAAGAACTTCTTATTTCACAGTTAAAGAGAGCACAGGCAGGCCCTAATGCTTCTCCCACTTAAATGAGCTAGATCCCTTTGCCTTTAATGGGGTCAGAATTATATTTGAATAATATAATCATCTCACCTCTGAGGTGAGATGAGCTATTCTAAAGCAATTTTTAAATCTCCCGGTTTAATCAGGGAATATGACTCAATTTTGCTGCTCTCATTCTCCACTGTCAGATTCTGAACCCATAGCATACAATCTGCTGTCAGGTTACTTTCTCAAATAGTGAAACTCTAAAAACACTTAACTGGATGCTTAAACTGAGCTTTAAGGGGATAAGTTTTATTTTAATTATTGTTAAATTGTTTAAAAAATATTAAGCATTACTGTAGTAGTGAATATGTATCTACTGATGATTTTTACTGAAATTCAAGTCTGTATCAGAACCTTCCATTACAGTTACAGATGGATATCTCTGATAGTAAAATAATTGATTTTATAAAAGAGTAACCTGGTTTTTTTTAGTTTCTATTACACTATGCAGACCATTCCACTCTAGTCACAATAGGATTAACAGGCTAATTTAAATTGTCAGTGACAAAGGACCCTATTTATTTTCATCTACACTATGTATCTCTGGTTTTGTAAAGCAACTAGTTCTAAATTAAATCTTGCCTGCAACTGAGTGTTCCTATTAAGAAGAATGTTAAAGAGAAGCGAGTTAGTAGAGGCTTATATTCTACATGCAGTCCTGGTGTGCAAGGTTCATGAAAAAATAATTCAAAATTAAAACCTTTGTTTCATATCTAAAATAACTTCCCATGGAGGAAACTGACAGCACAGAAATTACCTTTTAATACATGGAAAGGTTGAGTCTTCAATTCACAAGGAGTTTCATAATTAGATGTGCTTATAACCTTACAAAAAGCTAATTACTGCTTTGATTTTCATTATCAAAACAATGTTGCATGTGACAGTCATACCAATTTTAAAGAATATCTTGTTAGGCAAAAAGACAGTAGGCCTTCAGCAGGCTTCTTTATATCTAAAAAACCCAGATTTAATAAAATTCTGGAAAGAATTCTATTTTTCCACCCACCCAATCTTGCTGCATGTCGTGTGTTACTGAGCTTTAAGTGTACAAGCCAACTAAACTGGTTTTTGAAGCATCAAGCTGAGCAAAGTCCCAGACCTGAATTATTAGTTTGATATCTGATACAAAATTACATACACTTTTACAGTTTTCCTGTTTCTATGTATTCATCTTACTAACTGTCCAAGGAAAGATAGTTCAAATAGTCCCCTAAACCTTGTTTGGTTTTCCTGAAACTCACATTCACAAGTGCAGCAGCACATAGTTGCTGTAGGTAGCCAAATGCAGCCCACTGGTGCACAGTCATGAAGGAAAACACCTGCTCGACCTGTATGATAGATAAAGCAAAAAATGCCTTCTGTTTTTTGCAATTCTCTTTACCTGAAGAGCTGGAGATGCACAAATCCATAGGTTTTGGATTGGTAAAAAGTTGCTAATGCATCAGGCAGACTCAGTCTCAACAAGGTTTTTTACATTGATCACTAGAAACAAATGTGAGCTTGTTGACTTTCCTCCAACAGAGGACTACTGCAGTAAGTCAGAAACAAGTTACCATAGTGACCTATTACACACAGGGAAAGTAAATTTGTCTGCAATTATTTTTGGAGCTTTCTGTAAGGCTATGTAGTCAACAAAACACCAGTCTTGAAACCAGTGCGTGCTTCTCACTTCTCCATTGTGCAGTGGAGAAAGACAAGCATGTGCAGGATGTAACACATTGTCCTGGGGTGACTTTATGATACTGGTATCCCCAGTCGTCTGGTTTATGTTATATATTAAGTCCTGCACTTTTAAGACTGGCTTTGAGAGCAAGAGAAGGAGAAGGAAGAAGCGCGCAGTGTGTTAAGGAAAAACATCACTCCCACACACCCCGCTCCTGGACTGTGGTGTCTGCAGCACGGACAGACAGTGGGACAGAGCTTCTCTCTGGCTTTTAGTTAGTTTTAGCTAGCTGAGGCAGAGGAGTTCCCTGGACCTTTGTTTTTTTTTTCCTCCTTTTTTCTCTTGGATCTGTGCAAGCTTGCTCTGGACTGAACACCTAGCCAAACCCCGGGAGCTCAGTCCTGTGGCCCACCGGGGCCTGGGCCTTGGCACTTTCCAGCGCCGGAGGGACTGATAAGAACCTGAGTGAGCCGAGCTACACCACATGTAAAAGACTTTTCTTCCTAGACTTGCCATCCCATCGAACAGCGAGAGGTTTTATTATTTAATATTACTCAATTTCTGTTAAATAAACAGCTTTTTCCACTTCTCTCCAAGGAATTTTTTTCTTTTTTCCCTTTCCCGGACCAGTTGGTGGAGAGGGGGCATTTCCCTGGGGAAATCCCCATTTGGAGTTTTCCTCCCTAATTTGCCCTAAACTAGGACAAATACACACACCAAGGCATCTCAGTGAGACAACTGCATTTTGGTGTTTAACTCAGTGTTTGGCAGTGGTACCAAGCCAGCTGCAGCTCACTTTTGGGACTTGAGCACCACAAATTATGCACCTAAATGCTGCTTCTTGTCTCTCCTTCCTTTGTGTCATCAATTACATCATCTCGCATTTTGCCAACATGCTTTTATCTCTTTGGGTAGCTTTAGTATCAGTTAAGAGGACTGAAATCTTCCATCTCTCTTTCCTGGCCTGCACAATTCAGTCCATAGTGAGTTCCAGCCTCCATGTAGCTTTCCCACTCAGTACCAGAATATTTTGCTTCATTCAGTGGGCGTTTCTTTCTTCCATCCAGACTCACAGCCAGCTCTGGCTGTGGCAAGGACATTAGACAAGTGAAACATGAGGCACTTCTGGATGTCTTGGTGACACCTCAGAGATCCTCTATGCCCAGGTGATCTCCTGTCACCAGCAGAGGCAGAAGAGACAGCCCACATATCCCAAGAGATGCTGCATGTGCAGGATGAAGCTGCTGTGTTGTCATTGCTCACAGGCAATGTAACTCCAGTGCTGTGCTCCCAGCTGCTCACCCACAGCCCCTTCTGCTCCCAGCATTGAGGAGACCCTGAGGGACAGCCCTGGTCCCCAGCTGCAGCTGGACATGGAGCCACTGCCCACAGCTGCCTGGCTGCATCCATCTGGCCAATTGCTCGTGCCCCCAGTAGCCCACCCTCCACAGCCAGGGCTCTGCAGTGTGGGGCTCGGGCTGTGGTGTGGGACCGTGTCCAAAGACTCACAGGGCTCTGGGCATGTCAGGGGCTACAACTGCCCAAAGCTTGGGGCTGCTCCATGCCATTTCCAGTGGGTTTGGCTGTTGAAGGGGGGCTGGGATTTGCGTGGCACAAGCACGTTGTGTGAGGGCCCTTGGTGATACAGAACCTTGGGATGCCCAGAGACCCTTGTGAC